TATAATTTTATGTAAGAAGCACATATAATGCAATAAATATAAAATATTATATTAAACGCCTTACCTGATTCGCAGTTGGATGTAGATTATGTTGAAGGAGTTTTAGGTTTTAGATGACACAAAGTAATACTTAAAATGCACAAATCGAAATGATGAACTCACTAATTATGGCTTATCGTAAGAAAACCAGGTTGTCGCTCGTTGAAATCGGTTTTTGAGGTTGTTACTTGGTGGTTGGTGCTCATGCACTGGTTTAAGGGACGACACGAATATGTCGACCAGAGAGTGGTAGGCGGTTTTATCAAAGGTTTTTTTGTACTTCCCCGAACAAGATTTCTCTTCGGGGGCAAGGACATTTTTTACCATTCATTTTCTCTGGTGACATATAAGAATTCCGCACGTCCTACTCCCCACGGAGCGCCAGTATACGTGCCGATTCCTTAATTCGTGATCGCATAATGGAGATCGACAGATCGTACCTATTTGTTGATGAAAACGGTTTTTTGACGTCCCGATTTCTACAAACGACAGTCTGGACGTTGTTTATTACTCTGTAAAATTTTAGTTTATTTAATATTATAGTGTGTGAGCAATGATCATTACAGTTGAGACTACTAAAATGAATTAGTTAAAAAATTATAGTAGCACCCACTTAGCTCATGGGCTAGTAGGTATCGTTCTTCTAATCGGTGTCCAGACATCGAGTGCAGTACCTAGTGTACCTAGATATTGAATAGCCGAATATGGAATGGGTCACTGTTATGGGTGTGTTAAATTTGAATTCAATGATAAATCATAATATGATTAGTTGGTCTAGAATGAAAAGGTTCTAAATCTAATTTTTTTCAAAAGTCACTTTTTAACTAAAATGGTTTTAGAATACAAAGGCTCATATTTTAAGCTAACATTTATGATTATACGATCATTATTCACAATTTTTTTTTAAAAGCAAAAGGTTTTAAAATTTTAAATCGCCAAAAATTAAATTACAATTACAATTTAATCAAATTAAAAACGTTCGGTTAATGGAACCAAATTGATGAAGTATTGATATCGGGCGATTGTAAACTCCACCGATTTACAGGTAGTCGATTTTAGGGTTGGATTTATAACATGTAAATTACACCGATACATTTTTTTTACCTGAAAAAAAAATGTAAACTCCACCGATACGTATTTTTGACCTGAAAACACGTAAACTCCACCTATGGTAAAATCCACTAATTAAAACTATATGTATAGTGTATACACATCAACTTTCGACTGACTTATCTTAAACTTCATCTTAACGACCGCAGATAAAATCATATCGCGATATCGCGAAACGAATGCATTCGATAAAATATTTTCGAAGACACATTTTAGTGCGTCCGTTGATTTCAAAATGAACACATTAAGTGAATTAACCAGTGAACGTGGAAATATGTTGCTTTGTTTGAATAATTTTAAATATTACAAACAATAACAATAATAATTATTATTTATAATTATAATTTTTCTATTTTTTTCTATTTGATTTTTATATGATTTTTTTTTAAATTATTGTTAATTATTATTAATAATTATAGACTTTTCTATTTTTTTCTAATTGATTTTTATATAATTTTTTTTTTAAATTATTGTTAATTATTATTTATAATTATAGACTTTTCTATTTTTTTCTAATTGATTTTTATATGATTTTTTTTTTTAAATCATTGTATTTAAATACATAAATATATTATAATAAAACTGCACTCACATAAATTATGTAATCTTAGTTAATCAAATTGGATTTGGATTACAATTTTAAAAAAAAAAACATACCAGTGGAGTTTACATTTTTTTTTCAGGTAAAAAAAATGTACCGGTGGAGTTTACATTTTTTTTTCAGGTAAAAAAAACGTACCGGTGGAGTTTACATGAAAAAAGGTCTAAAAAGGTCGCAATCGGTGGAGTTTACATGCGCCCTTGATATCTGTGTATAAGGCCATAAAGATAAAGTGTTCACTGAAGAAAAAGATTGTAACTGTATCTATTAAAAATAAACTTAGGCCTGTCTAAAAACCGGCCGGTCGCACATAGACCACATCCTTCAGCGGCCTACCGGCCGGCGTATTAGGAAACCCAGGACGCCACTGAGCGCCTTATGTATACCACGTTCTCAATTTCTCATTGGCCCATTTCAAATTTCCTGCTTTTTTTTTTTATAATTTTTTCAACCGGCCGGTAGAACATGTTCGCCGGTAGACCGCATACTATATGACAGCCCAGGTTATTAACAATACGTTAGTATGAAAAGGTTGTAATTCAATTAATCACTACCTAATAATTATTACGTTTATCCATATTCAACAACATTTTACGTTCGAGATAGGTACAGATTTCGATGTTTCATAATTTTTACATTGGTACGTGTTAGAAGATTGGTAGCAATGAGAAAGCATTATTCTGACAAGTGTTCAGCCAACAATAATAATAATAATAATAATAATAATAAATAAGAATGAAAAAGTTCTATTTAAATTTATTTTAGGATGGAAAGGTTCTAACATTGTAGAATTTTTTCATACGAAACATTTTATAATTTGTGAAGTTTTGAGAATCAGAATATATTTTATATTGCTACCCGCCTAGTAGTTGTAATAGTGTATAATATAGTGTATAGCAATTTATTTCACTATTAGTAATACGGAAAATTGATTTAATTCTTGTCGAAAACATCGGATTTATTATATTATAATTGTGTATTATAGTTGTTGACTTGTTGTTAAGTATTGAGTGTTGAGTCAATACCGACCTACTACAGAACGACATGAATAGGTTTCTTGGTATAAATAGGCAATGATTTAAAAATAATTTAAATATTTAGTCATTTTGCACCTATACTTACATAAAATATATAATATTATAATAAGGCACTTTAAAGTTTCAAGTCTCCAACAATAATATTTTTAATTTACAAAAAAATAATTATCTTTGGTAGGTTTTAATTTCGTACAATTTTTAACTTCATCAAAAAAAAAAAATAAGCATTGTTATTTTTTAAATTTTAATGTATCAGTAAGAACTACAATTATGACAAACCTTGTGTTATGCAGTTTCAAGTCTTATAGCTATACAAAATTTAACTTTTTATCAATATTTAACTACAAAATAATTAATTTGCAAATATTTGTGATTCTACAAAATGCTTATAAAAAATGTCGTGTCAGTATAGGTAGGTATTTTTAACCACCTTTGCTCAGTATCATTTTTCGTGAGTAATGATTTGTCATTGCATTCAAATAATTTCATCCAACACAAATAACATCTATTACCATAGTCCATAGGCGCAAATCCATTAAAAATTCTTGGGGGCTACCATTTTTAACATCAATGTGAGTCGGGGGCTTTGATCAAACACAACTAAAAAAACTGTATACTTTTTGGTGGTCGCACTGGATTGACTCGACTCCTATACCAGCATTCAGCGCTCTGGTTATTTACTATATTTTTTTTAAAAATTTATTTCTGGTTCACAAGATTTTTGTAACTTAAGTTACCATGCAGCACAGCAATTTTTAAATTTTTATTATGCATATAAGGGATACATTGTTGTATGTTCTAAATATAAAATAAGAATCAATGTACTAAGTTGTAAATCAATCATGCACCACATTTTTTTCTTGTGGAGCATTATTTAAGAGTTAAATTCAAACTTAGTTGTCCAACTAATATTGGAGTATAAAAAATTTGGAGGAAATATAATATTCAACATATAAATCAGATGTAACCTATTAATTTATTAATATATTAATTGATCACTAAGACTGCCTGTGAGGCTATTTGAATAGAAAAAAAAATTGAAAACCTCAGAGGCACAATACACAATTTAAACTAATATTGGAACATCAATATATACATTACACATACACATTTTATTTTACATACACATTTTTAAGAAGAGCTAAAATAGCTACAACTTAACATGTATTAGATTCTTGGGAGTAACATAATTAACACTAATAACGTGTAACTAAAAATTGATACTTAAAACTTACATAGTAAAAATATAATTAAAACTTACATAATCAAATTATAAATGCTTTTTATACAATATTTTGATGGTAGTTAAATTTTATTTTAAATTATTAAATAAACAAATTAAAATTACTTCATTATTAAATTAAATCTAATCAGTTAAATACACAATGTAATAAGAATTTGAATAAATTACTTGGTTGACAATATATGAATATACAAGTTATGGTTAAAAAAAAAAAATCTTAAAACTTAAATTTAATTAATAAAAAAATACACATTAAATATATATATATATAAAGTAAAATACATTCAATGAATGTATAGTAAAAACTTAACTTCATTGTATAAGTAGTTAAAACAATAAAAATAGTTAAATGTATAAGGAATTTTTAGGATAAAACAAAAAAGAAAAGCAAGAATGTGAGATTCTAGTAATACACAAGTATTTTAATTTTCTTCTCGCATATTATTATACTAACATTCAAATAACATCAGAAGTCAAAGTATTTTGTCATTTGGAATGGCTTAAAATTCTACTTTTGAATACGTAATATATAATTATGGGGTATAACATGCTAAATCTTTCTTTTGATGCACTTTAAAGTTTGATTTAAATCTTAAAGCCTTTTATCATATTGGAATGGTTTGACACCAGTGTGTAATCTTAAATGTTTTGGGGTTTTTAAGATTTTTAAACAAATTTCACCCTGAGCAAAATTTTAATTCATTATATTTTCTAAAGAAGTATTTTGTCGCTCATAATTCTCAACATGTTAATTATTATTAGATGTAGAAATACTGGCACTGCACATATCTTCCAAAATATGATTACCTAGAGCAAGATTTGTCTCAAACTGATGACCACAGTCTTTACACTTATACATATTTAAAGTATGTATCTTTGAATGTTCTTGTAATGAAATATTGTCAGCAAACTTAATTTTACATAATGTGCAAAAGTATTTCATAATATTTGTTTTATTTACTGATATGATTTACCGTCTAGTTTTTTTATGTGTAGAGTTTGTTTCTTCATAATGTTTAAATAATTGTTTGTGTTTAATTTTTAAATGTTCTCTGTAAGTATATTTGTGCTTAAATGTACTTCCACAAACATTACAGGTCATAGGTTTAAAATTTTGTGTGTGAATTATGGACATGTGGCGACTTAAATTAGCTCTGTTGCTGTATGTTTTACCACATAACTCACATTTAGTGCCATTAATGTGATTATGTCTATTTTGTTTCTTAATCGCTGGTTTTTGTTGAATTTTGTCTGTTAATTTGCCCTTTTGTAAACCGGTATTATCATAGGTATTCAAATACGTTGAATCTAACATTTTACAACAATTTTTTTTATGAACTGTTCGATTGTAAGAAGTTTTAAATGTTTCCGTACATATATTACATTTGAATCGACCAGATTTGGTAGAATTCTTTGCAGCTTTATTTGATGTAAACTCTGGAAGGTTACTTTTACAATAGCGACGACATTCCTTGCTCATTGTCATATGTTTTTTCCACTGAGATATTGAGTTATATTCTTTTTTGCAATATCGACATTTCATTTTATCTTTATGACTTATAGATTCAATCTTTAGTTTAGTAATGTTCGATTTTAGATTATTAGTATGCTGCTTACTTTTTAAATTAGCATTGTGTTTTGTGTAGTGGCCTTTTAAATGCCAATTCCATCGAAATTTCAACTGATAAGTTCTATTACAAATCTTACATACATATGGTACAATTTTAGAATGTGACTTTCGGTGAACATTCAATTGGAACGGAGTAGAGAACTTTATCTCACACACATCACATGGAAACCATAAATGTTCTACGTCCATCAAATTTGTACCACTTGAATTGCCATCAACTGGACTATGAATAATCTTAGAATCATTATAATGCTCAATTTGTGGTTCATCATTAACTTCAAAAACTATATTGTTTTTTTTTTGAATAGTAGCACTTTTAACTACTTTTTTTAATACATGTGTTTTTTCATGCATAATATAAAGGCCTTTCCTACTAAATTGCATGTCACAATATTGACACTTGTATGTCTTACAATAATGAATACGCATGTGATTGGTTAAAGCACCAGGATGTGCAAAATGTGTGTTGCAAAACTTGCAAAATGTTGATTTCTTTTCATTGCTTTTATTAACATGGTTGTTCAGATTGTTATTTTTGTAATTTACTGGCACTGATAATTTGTTTTCGTATTCGATTTGTTTTCGTTTTCGTATTCGTTTATTAGTCAACTCTATGTTTTCAGACGGAATGATTGATTCGTTACAATCAATCGATGTAAGTTGTTTTGGTGTGTTTGGATTTATCTTATGCTTCATCATCATATGGTTTGTAAAATAAAAGCGCTTTGTAAATTTTCTATTACATAATTTACAGAAATTCATTTTTTTAATTGATGATGATTTGTTTTTTTTATTTTGTTTTCTCGACATTGTCTCAGAATCAGAGTTGTTGTCTTCTATACTTATGCTGTTTTGGATTACAATTGGTTCAAGTTGAATATTCTCATTATTTTGTAATAAAAATTTGTGTGAGTTGATATGAGATTTTTCATGATTTGTACATGAACCCTTTCCAGAAAATGTTTTATCACAATACCTACAGGAAAATGGTTGTGATTTATTACGAAGAGTTTGATGAACTTTTAATGCGCTTGTGGAAGGAATTACTTTTGTAAGTGTACTACAGTCATATTGGTATTTAATTTTGTTGCCACTATTCAACCTTGTTGAAGCTGAATGTGAATCATCTGATAAAGATATCTCAGATTTTCTATTTTTTAGGTTTTTAAAAACTTGAGGTTCCTCGTTTCTAGATGTAATAGGGTGCAATGCATTAGATTCAGTATTTATAGGATCAAACGGAATTGTTGATACATTTAAATCTATTTGTTGTTCATGATAGGTCATATGGTCTACCCAGAGAGTTACAGAGTTAAATGTTTTATCACATACAATACATTCATGCATATTACACTCACTGTGATCACTCATGTGTAATGCGAATGAATGTATATCTGTAGAAGGAACATTTTTACAAATTCTACATATAAATATAATATTGTCTTGTGATATCTGATCATTATCATCGTGGCAAAATTCATTTTTAATATTAGGCAATTTTCTAATACAAAAATAAGGTGTTTCTCTAACTATAGATACAATATTATTATTAGCTATAATTATAGGGTTTTGTTCTGCCATTAAATCACGAGGTTCGTTTACCAAAGTTGATTTATTGCTACTCACTGAATCCGCTTGATCTAAACTGGTACTTTCTCTGACATTTATATGCAAGTTGTTTTCTTGCTTTATAATTCGGAAAAGAAAATTGTTTGGCATTGGGTTTTGTGAAGCAGTTGATACAATTGATTCATTGCTGTTTGCTAAAGGTGTTTCTCTAACTATAGATACAATATTATTATTAGCTATAATTATAGGGTTTTGTTCTGCCATTAAATCACGAGGTTCGTTAACCAAAGTTGATTTATTGCTACTCACTGAATCCGCTTGATCTAAACTGGTACTTTCTCTGACATTTATACGCAAGTTGTTTTCTTGCTTTATAATTCGGAAAAGAAAATTGTTTGGCATTGGGTTTTGTGAAGCAGTTGATACAATTGATTCATTGCTGTTTGCTAAAGGTGTTTCTCTAACTATAGATACAATATTATTATTAGCTATAATTATAGGGTTTTGTTCTGCCATTAAATCACGAGGTTCGTTTACCAAAGTTGATTTATTGCTACTCACTGAATCCGCTTGATCTAAACTGGTACTTTCTCTGACATTTATACACAAGTTTTTTTCTTGCTTTATAATTCGGAAAAGAAAATTGTTTGGCATTGGGTTTTGTGAAGCAGTTGATACAATTGATTCATTGCTGTTTGCTAAATTTTGTTCTATACTATTTGTTTCCTGCTTAATACTTAGAACAGGGCTATTGTTGTTTGCCATCTGGTTTTCAAGTTTTAGAGTTGCCATCGGGATATAAGTGGAGCAGTCAATACAAAATTGTTGAATTAATTTTCATCTACAAAATCAGCATTTATAAATGAGATTGTGATATTTTTGAAAGTGACTATTCAAACCAAATTTTAACTTAATTTTAACTGTTTTCCAGTTAGTTAGTTTTATAATTTACTTGTCATTTGTGTTCGGCCAAGTGATTTTTAAAAGGTAATTTAAAACAAAGCTACTTCCACAGATATTACAATGTAATATACTATCAGTTGTATATCCATGATTTAATTAAATATTATTATCAACAACATCCTGTGAAATAAAAAAAATAATTAATGTTTATATACTTAAGATATTCTTGTCATATGCTGTCTACCACAAACACGCGATCCACCAGTCATTACACATAGTGTTCTATGCGATCTACCACTAAAATACCAGCATAAACAATCTATAGGTACTCTATTATAAATAAGTTGCGTTCGCACACGTGCAGTATCGTGGGTGGCGTTGGCCAATTGGACAAAAATATACATAATTAATAATATAATATAATAGTCTCATTAATTTTTAAAATATTACTTTGAAGAATGGAATTAATTTTATATTTAATATACTTTTGATCACTATCAATGATTTTGTATACAATGTTTTTAATCTATTTAATGTTAAAAGTTTATATTATAAGAATTTATTGTTATCATTTTAAAAATTTAGAATTAACACTGTTAATATTAGCCATGTTTATAATACTTAAAATATATAACAAAATAAAGCAGTTTATACCTGCCTTAACAAAAAAAATAAATCCCGATCCACAAAAAAATAATTATGTAGAACTTAATGTTTTACCGATAAGTCTTTTGTATAAAAAATGTGCTATATGTCTTTAAAATAGTCTTACATTAAAAAAATTTTCCTCACTGGATGATGTACGTAATAAGAGCGAAATTATAGCTTATGACATAAAAATTGATTATGCAAAAAAAAATATAGACCAAAAATTCATTGACTATCTAGGACAAAAATTATTCTACTCTTTAAACTTAAATGTAAAAAAATACTTTAGAACCAATACTAAAATTAATGTAAATAGATATATAAGTCAATCATTGTTATGTGAGCTTTAAAATACTTGTAAACTTTATATAATATATTACTTTATGTATAGTATATATGTTCTATGTATTCAAATTTAAAAAATACTGTTCTTATATTTTTCTCTGTTCTTATTGATAAATCTGTTTTTTCTTAGTATATATTTAGATAAATAATATAAGCTATCAGTAAAATATTAAAATTCATCAAAATAACTCTCTACCTCCAACACAAGCTTTGCTTATAGGAGGTAGATAAACCATGGTAATTGTATGCTGTTTGATTATAAGGGCTGATTTCACCAACACAGTTAATCACGGTTTAAGTTAACAGGAGTTTAATCGGCTGAATTTGCCCAGTTAAATATCTGTTATCAGCCAATTAAGCGTAATCCTAATTAACCGTGATTAACAGTGTTGGTGAAATCAGCCCTAAATTGTAATAAATGGTTATTTTAAATAAATAAAAAAAAAACAAAAACTTGTGAAAAATAAAAACCTAGGTACAAAACTAACTGTTTTTGTTAAAGTTTGGGAATTTGTAAATATATTTTGTAATAGCCTTGTAAAATAGTACTTCGTCTTCGTGTGTGGCTTTTTGGGTTGAATGTGATTAGTTTTGAACTTATAAAATCACAATATTCATTGCATATTTCAATATTTGTATAACTGCTGTAAGTTCATAAATGAGCGTATACCCTATAATATTTTTACAAAAACACCACGGGTTATTAAGATATTATTTCTAATAATTTATGTATAAAATGTAAATGAATTAAAATATATCAATATAAATAATATACGTATGATATTCTAGTTAAACTGTGGTAGAAAGCATTTATAATGTCAAGTGAAAACAAGTGATAAACCGCATACGACAAAAATAATGTATATAAAAAGGATATTACCTGGCATTCCACCTAAGTCCACATTATTATGACAAAGCTGTCAGATGGTCGACCGGTAGATCGAAGTTTTAGATATTTCGGTACTGAGTACAGCCGTCCCAAAGCTGGTTGTGTTCAAAGCCCATGTTCACTGATCACATAATAATTAATAACCTATTCCGAGGTCTGATTATACAAAAGGTTCAATATAAATTCAAACCATAAACCTGGAATAATAACAAACATAAATTAAATACCATTATGGAAAGTTGAGTACTGTTTATTACGGAAATTAAGATTCTTCATAGTGTAAACCGTAAATTAGGTACTTTAAATACCAATATACCGCATCGACGAGGAATCAGACGTGAACCTACGGGACACGGTCACACGGGTGTAAGAGAATATGGTCATGCAGAAAACTTAAAAAAATATAAGGATAAATAATATTTAAAAATATGATTATTGATTTTTTAATACAAATATTTTTTTTAACAACTTGAAACTGTAAAAAAATATTTTCAAATACATTAATACTTTTTGAAATGACGAGTTTTTCATGATAAAAGAATCATCTTATAGGTACCGCCGTACCGGACACGGTTTTATCGTTTTTCGTAGTGTAAACTACTTGTATGTAGAATACCAATATAACGCATCGACGAGGAATTACAGACGTGTGAATTTGTGATTGGAGAATATGGTTATTTAGTAACATGGCTGTTGACGCTACTCGCCAGTGTTGCCACAAGTCACAAAGAATAAAGAGAGAAATCACAAACGCTGAACCACCGATTTATCGTTTATCGAAAATTTCGTCATGGTTTATACTTTATTGGTTGACGGTAATCCAATTTCGGATATTATTCTTAGATCATAATAATTATTATTATCCAAGAGTATATTCACTATATAAGTAGCATTAAATTTGCACTTGAGCCCATTCCCTCCCCGCCCCACCACATTCATGCATTCCATCTGCTCAAGTGTACACCTCACGGTTTAAGATAGAATCATAGACCTTATACCACAGATATCTATATTATAATATATATATATAATATAGATATGTATATATATGATATAGATATGTATAATATAGATATCTGTGCCTTATACTAAGTACCATGGACGTTTAATTTATTAATTTTATGTCAATGACAAGACGTACCTTAGTATAAGGTCTATTGGATAGAATTGTTACGCGTATGATAGCTTAATGACAAAGTGACCATGCTATGTACTCATATGAATTTACTGACTGTTAGTGCCATCTAGTGTCGACTTCATGTTTTACTAAATATTATATTATCTAATCTCTCATAGGTATATCAATTATTCATGACCACTAGATCGCGTTAAGAGCTAGTACATTGACATCAGCATCATGGATAATATAAGAATGGATAGGATATAAGAGCTTATCACTATACTCCGGCCCACGAGAGTCCATATTATGTAAGCCACACATCGTTTAGTAATATGCGACGTCTGTTTTCTCTCTATGATGCCATTCCCACTATTCGGCAACGTTCCGATGCGCAGCGGCGAACGCGTTTTTACGTTTGGACTCTCGTGGGCCGGAGTATGGAGAATTTAGTTATAATTAACGATCTATATTAACATCATAACAAATTAGATTTGTCATGTATCTCAGTTCGTGTTTTATACAAACGACGTTGTAAACTCTAGGTCCCCATTGCGACGCCCGGATCTTGCCTCTTATAAATACATTTGTGTCCACTGCACCACTGATAAGCTGCTCGTTTCCAGTCCATATAATCTTAGTCCGTGGTGAAAACTAAATTTAAATATTATACGAGAATTAAAATATTGGCATTCAATTATAAACATGTTGTATACTCCGGCCCACGAGAGTCCATACTTAATCCGCGCATCGTGACTGACGGTCGTGACCATAGACAAAGAAAATAATTTTCTCCCGCCATATGCCGTCCCCACCACTCGGTTACGTGAATACAGCGGGTTATAAACATATAATTTAATATTATCGTATTACTTAAACACGTGGTTTGCTGCAGTCCCTCCGTATGCACGAATGTCGACGACGGCTATCGCCGATCGTTGCCGGCCGATTTCCGACCGGTATGATTTAGCGTATGGAAGGGGAACCGATGCGCAGCGACGGGCGCGTATATGGACTCTCGTGGGCCGAGTATAGATACTGATTGTCTGCCTACCCTTCCCCTCCACCCTAAACAGATATCGTGCAATAACCTTTAGATTAGTGGAAAAAGACTATAATTAAAATCAGTGTTGCCATATTGGCCATTTTATGGCAATATATAGCCATTTCGATGTCCAGAATGCCATAGAAATTTGGATCTAGCCTTTGGCCTTTTAACTAGCTTTTTGGATTATTTTATATACAATTTGTAGCCATTTGTAGTTCTGTACAAAACCTGTTATTTTTATTATTATTCACCAAAAAAAAAAAAAAATCTATAAATAATTCTGTAAAAATAAATTGTATTGATATAATGAAAATACTAAATATAGGTAACGATCGTTTTATCTTTTATAACAGTACCCAGTACCCACTACCCAGTATTCAGTAACCACATACTGCAAAGTCTGCAATGTATTTTCATAGACCAATCAACATCGTATTATTCGTATTGTATATTTGTATTGAACTGATTACTGAACATTATTGCCGTATAATAATACTATAAGTCTATATATTATACTCTTGACTCTTGTTGACAATAATTATTATAAACACAAATCATAATTCACAATATTAAAATAGTAGTAAACAGTAATTTTATTGTCTATAGTTTAGTATTAACAAGTAACAACTGTTCAGACTTACATCTTGGTGCATACATAGTGATTTATCTTTTGAAATTTGAAATTTGTTTTCGCATCTACTGAATACCGACTTACCGTCTTAATATCTTTTTGTTATAAAATATTTGAAATTATGGCACCACAGTATACACAAAAGTTCCGTGAAGAATGGATGAAAGATAAAAATTTTAAAGAATGGATAGTTGAACTGGATAATGACAATACTAAGGTAAGGTGTAGATTTTGTAAGTGTGATATTCGAACAAAAAAGTATGATTTAAATCAGCATTTAAAAACTAAAAAGCATTTGGAAACTTCCAAAAACTTTTCCGCTTCGAGGGCATTAACAACATTCATTAAACCAATTACCACCAAGACGGCTCAGGCAGAAGGTGCAATATGCTTATTTATAGCAGCACATAGCTCAGTATTATCATGTGATCATTTAGGAGAATTGTGTAAAAATTGTTTTAAATCATCTGAGGCAGCTGATTTGATGAAATTACACAGAACTAAATGCACTGGTATAATTTGCAATGTATTAGCTCCCCATTTTCAAAACGAATTAAAAAATAAAATCAACAATGGACCATTTAGTATTTTAATTGACGAGTCAACTGATATAAGTGTGCTTAAGTTCTTGGGAATAACAATTATGTATTTTGATACAGATATGAGACAGGTGACTTCAACGTATTTATCATTAGTAGAAATGGAGTCTTGCGATGCAGAAGCCTTGGTTAATGCTGTAAAAACGACACTACATAGTAAAGGTTTGGATATTAAAAAATTGTGTGGGATTGGTACGGACAATGCTTCAGTTATGGTAGGCATTAATAATGGTGTTTATGCAAAATTGAAAGAAGATATACCATCATTAATACATATCCCATGCATATGTCATTCACTGCAATTAGCAGTATCAGCTGCAGCAGCTGAAACCTTACCTAGAAATATAGATTATTTAATTAGAGAGACCTACAATTGGTTTTCGCATTCTACTTTAAGACAAGCTCAGTACAAAAATTTGTTCAAAGCAATTAATGATGGCCATGATCCATTAAAGATAGTTAAAGCATGTGCTACTAGATGGTTATCAATAGAAACAGCAGTAAGTCGTATTCTAAAGCAATGGGTTGAACTTAAAACTTTATTTGGAATTGCCAAGCAAAATGAAAAATGTTATATGGCTGATACTCTTCATGCAATGTACTGTGATCCTAACAACTTTGCATATTTAAAATTTTTATATCCTATTCTGGAAGAAATTCAGAAAGTCAATAAATCTTTCGAGTCAAATACAGCCGATCCAAGCAAATTACTCACAGATTTAACCAATATGGTGCGGTCAATAGCAAAACGATTTATTAACCCACAATGTCGTCTCAATCCATTGACAGCAAATGTGGATAGTTATACTATGAACAATGTTTATTTTGGTTATGAGTTTGAACAAATATTACTATCAAGTAAATCCTCTGAAGATAGTAAACAACAATTAAAACAAAGGTGCCTGAAGTTTTTACAAGTTTTATTAAAGCAGTTGCAACAACGGGTGCCAAAAAACATTGATGTATTAGAAAAAGTACATTTAATTTCAATTAAAAATGCATTGCAGTGTATAAAAGAACCGCTAACTCCTTTAGCAGAATTATTCATATTAGAAGGAAGTACTATTGATAAAATAAATGTACAGTGGGCCAACATTGTGAGTGTAAAATGGGTGGAGAAGTCTAATACTGTTAGTTTTTGGGGTGAAGTTTTCAATTACACTGATGCAAGTGGTTTGAATCCATTTGCTGAACTTTCTTCCCTTGCTTTAAGACTTCTTGTACTCCCTTGGTCCAATGCTGAGGTCGAGCGTTTATTTAGCCAGATGAATATTGTAAAAACTAAACTAAGAAATAGAATGGGCCCTAAACTATTAGATAGCATCTTAACAGTAAGAGCAGGACTAAAAAGAAGTAAGGTATGTTGTTCTGAATACCAGTTGCCTTCAGAAGTGTTAAAGCAAATAGGAACGTCGTTTTATTACGATAAAAATGTGAAAGATACTAGTTCAACGTCGAATGAAGGAACCATAGAAACTATAATATCCAACAACGAAGATAATAGTATCGATGATGTTGGTTTACTATTAAACACAGAATTTAATTTTTAATTTTAAGTATTGTTTTGTTTTATACAATTATACAGTTAATAAATAACGTTGATGTTATTTGTTTATTTATGTGCAATGCATAAGTTAACTATGAACTGTTTATACTAAAAAGTTTGTTATTTTTTTTTTAAATATTTAATAAAAAGGATTATTATACTATAAAGAGTAAAGACTGTGTTAAAACATTACAATCTTATAATGAAGGTGTATTGATATCACAGAATATAATAATAATTAAAATCTTCGTTCGTGGGTAATAAGCACGATTAAAGATATAATTTAATCGTGTTAATAACTAATAAGTGATAACTGATAAGTGATAATATTTTATCAGAGGAATGAAATTATCTCATGGCGTTATCAGCGTTATCATTTTCTGAAAAAAAATATTTAGGGCCGGTTGCATAAAGACCAGTCTGTAAATGTTTTCACGGACCTGTAACTTAATCACTCGTTAACTCGTTAACGGCTTGTAAAAAAAAAATGAGTTTCATAAAAGATTATTATTATTTTGTATTTTATTCATAACCATAACTACCAAATAAATTATACCACATTTAATTTGATTACAATGATTGCTGATTATATTATTAATACTAATAAAAAAAAATGTGGCTGATAAGAAATTTTAATATTTCTTATCACCATATTTAACGGATCGTTAAAAGTTAACGAACCAAAATCGGACCTGTAGTTTACAGGTCCAATAGCCGATAATTTACAGACCCGTTAACGTTAACAGTCGTTCAAGCAACACCCAATTTTTTTTAACGGATCGTTAGTGCGTTAACGGCTCTGTAAATCGCTAATGAACGTTTATGCAACCCACCCTTAGCCTTTTATAGCCTTAACAGTACATGGGTTTTGCTTTATTTGACTTGTATATTATGGCAACACTGATTAAAATATACCAGTATATTGTGTGGCAAGGGAGGGAAGTAAATGTTTTCGCCCAAGACTAAAATTGCGTTCCTGCACAATTTTTCGTCACACACCTCTGCATTCATAAATCGCCGCGGCAAAGGTAATGCAGGGGGATCTATGCAACAACTAGACTTTAATTATCCGACATCAATATTTCATGAAAGAAACAATTTGGTTTTATTTATTTTAAGCGTCACGCATGGAGGTTATTATAATATGATTATAAGATGTAACCAAAAGTTTTTGTTTTGAAGGACCGTCGACCGTGTTATTGATTTCAGTGTCTGTTTGTGCAGGGTATAGGTATGTGCGTGAAATGTGCAAGCAGCGCTTTTGGTGATTTCCACTTTACCGCCCACTTGACGGAAAAGGAACGCTTTCCAACGCGTTTATCGAAAACCAAACTTTTAGTGCAAAAAAATATAATTTTAAAATTGTATAGAATTGCAGAAAGTTTGAAAAACCGACACCGGGTTCCTTTACACATAAATTAAATAAAAATAAATTTTTCATTAATCATTATAGAGACCAAATGCGTTATTGTCGATATTCGATATTGACAAATGACAATATTATTATTAAAAATATATAAAATAATAAATTAAAAATATCAAAACCGTTTTGATATTTATTGATGGTTTTTCATTAATATTAATAACATTGATCCGTGTATGGGGCATGGGACCCTTAAGAACATTTTTGTAGGTATTATGTGTTAAAATATAACCAAAGTGTGTATAGATAGGTTGGAGTATATTGTAAAAATATTTGTTTGGATATTGACTTGTATACGTCGGAACTCGGAAGCTATCGGTATTCACGACATATTATAAAACTCACTGATTTTTCTTTGATTTTTCACATAGGTTAGGTTAGGTTACATTCTAAATAAATAAATTAAATAATTAATTTTCTAAATAAATTTTAATAATCAGTTTACATTCTTACTTTTAGTCTCCATTACACACACATACACATGCATAGAGCATGACACCAGTACACCACCATTGTTTTATATTAGTATAATACATGTTACTTATATTATTATATCTATACTAATTAGTAATTACTAATATTATAAACAGGAAAAATTTGTTTGTTTGTTTGTAACTAATAAACTCAAAAACTACCAAGTACTGGACAGATTTCAAAAAATCTTTCACCAATAGAAAGCTATACATTCTTTGTGAGTGTCGTACCTAGGCATACATTTATTCCGATAAAGTTAATAAATAATTAGTTCTTAATTATTATTAATAATCAAAATAAAAGTGTAAATTGTATAGGTACCTAAATAACACAGTGGACGGTGTTTTTCAAGCTACCTGCAACCTGACCTTTTTAGGGTTCCGTACGGTAAAAAGGGACCCACTTACTAAGGCTTTGGTGTCCGTCCGTCCGTCACCAGGCTGCATCTCATGAAAGTGTCGAAGTTCGACAGTTGACATTTTCACAGGTGATGTATTTCTGTTGCCTCTATTAAAACAAATACTAAAAATCCGTCAGAATATAATATAAAATAAGCAGAATTACCATTACTTGCCAATATGTATTATAAAATCGGTCGGGCCCGAAATAATCCGTCAATGGTGACGGGGCTGGCTGCTGGCTGGGTACCTACGTCCTACATACCTACGTCGTTTTCGTGGTATCTTTCGCAACCATTACCGCTGTGTACGACTGCGCTCATTTATTATAACGCATTATTATTATAATATACGCACAGCGTTCGCGTCCACCAGTTTTCCTGCTCTCAGCCTGGTATTTTAATTACATGTTATTTTCAATAATCCTGTTTCTTTTAAGATCATACCACTAATCTGCATTGCATAAATATTGTTTTATATAACTAATAAAATCTAAATTATTTTATTTGACCTGGTATTTAACTACATGAAGCTTAGGTAATTTATATTTAGTTATTAACATTATTCTGTTATTTTAATTTTATATCATATTATATTAGAAACAATATAATCATTATTATAAAATTAATATTTAAGTGGAGCTTAATTGGAACAGACATGATTTTTTTGCCGTTTTTATAGATAATGCTACGGAACCCAGAACCCTTCGTGCTTGAGTCCGACTCCCACTTGGACGGTGTTTTAATTTTTTTTTTATTCTTTATTGTTACATACAAATAATGTTTGGTTTATTTTTATTCATCTGATTTTAGTACAGTTAGGTTAGGTTAGGATTTTGTATCAATTGATTATATATTAATCAGCCGTATGTTGAATTAAGTAACAGAATATTCAATATCGTGGTTTATAAAAGTCCCCACACACTGCAGCGGTGGCGGTGGCGGTAGCGGTTACGGCAAAATGAGTCCGGACAAAATTTTACCGCTACCGCTGCAGTGTGTGGCGCCCTAAACGGAATGGTTACCGACAAAATTAAAACTCGACAGTAAAATAACCAGTTTACTCTGACACTGAAGTTTATTAATTGTGGTAAGAACCTACTAACGCCGGATTATGGTCATAATAATGGGGGGGCTATTACTTTTAGTGAGGTCCTTTCGCCAAAAACAATTTTTTTTTTTATTCAGGTTTAGTAATTCGGAATAAATATTAATTGAAATAAGTATAGCATATACATTTTGTATACATTTTTTGACCAAGGCTTGAAACCGATATTTGAAACCGATTTTGAATACCGGTTAAAACCGTTAAAAACCGAAACCGAAAAAAAAATCGAAGAAAATAAATACCGATACCCGAAACCGAAATTGGGAAATTTATTTTCGGTTTCACGCCCTGATTTTTCGGCATATTATATTATTATGCAATAAAAAAATATAAACATAATATATTTTAAATCTAATATAATATTGTGTTTAAAAAACTTTTTTCTGGATTTTTCTTCAGAAAATATTGCAAATTAACCTGCGAAAGTACGTGTTTGTCGTTTATCGAACGATTATATTTATCGCGGCTGCGGATCGGTCGGAAGCACGTTCGATAACGACGAAAACTAGCTGTTAGTGATTAGTGAAATAGACAAGCGACGACCACTATAAATATAATTTTGTCTTGTGTGTCGGTAATAAAGTATCTAAGACCATTTTTTCCCTTCTTCATCCAGCCCTGACCATCCAATGTTCATAGACTATAATAATAATATTACTAATAATATTACCTTTAATAATTTATTTAAGTAACCTGGTAACCACCTGTTTGCGGTAATGTACAGGAGCTGCTACATCGTGTGTCATGTCGATATGGATAAATTCGTATATTGGACGTTATTTTTGTTGGTATCGTGTAAAATCAAGTTTCAGAGAAGAATTTACTACAGCTAGCTCAACTTTAAAAATCAATACGGTTCCAGTTGTAACCATAGTTACCACGCCGGCACGCCCACGCGGCCCCGCACGACACAATACCATAGCTATATTATGCACAATACATGACTTAGCTGTGAACCCGGCTAAATTTCCAGACATAGTAATATTGGAAAACTTACCAAGCACTAAGCAGTGTTGCCACTTATCCGAGAGAGTATGTTAGAAAGGAATGGCCTATACTAATACTACAAAAAAAGAAGACTATAGTTTCTATTATATCATTGTCTTACCCACATGGAACTAACATCGTATATTCATTATATTACTTTTATTAGTTAATTTTAAAAAAAAAATGTTTGGTTCATTTTATACAAATTAAATAATGAATTATACAAATTCTTAATTTAACAATGATTAATAATAATTGCTTATTAGTGGATAATTATAACATAAGATATAAGACGTAGGTATTGAAATTTGCGGGGTGCCACCATTGGGTGACTTACCCCTCCCGCTAATCAACAAACATTCCATTTACTTATTGTACTACATATAAATACAGATTGTAAATATACATTTTTGTTCAATAAAAAAAAAAAAAAGGTATTGAAATTTGAAACATGCTTTTCTTGTATAGACTTCTTGTTAAATTTTATATAAGGTATAGTATATAAGTACATATACTACGATGAATACATTTGAAGGGTTATAGGGAAAAACGACAATAGTCAATATTCCTACAATGTTCAGTATTGCAGTTTTAAAGTGGGACTATGGCCTTTTT